TTTCCTCCTCCCGCTCAGGGTGGTGCGGTGCAAGCCGCTTTGGAGGGAGCTCGGGCACGCTGGTGCTTGGACGGAGCTTGAAAGTACAAATGCAACGAAATGAATGTCTTCCTTGAAGGAGCAACATAGCATTTGACAGTCTACCTCATTATAATGGAATACTAGGAGTTCATTTGCTTATCCCTGCAAAAAAAGTCCATTTACTTGTCAATTTTAAAAACAAAACCAAACCGCCAATCGGGATAATAAAAAGATCATGACAACGGGTATCCATATTAAAGACTAAAACCACTGACCTAGTTTTCTCATGTGTGTGCATTTCTCGTGAAAATTGGAGGAAGGAAAGAGGAGGGGAACAAACCTCGAACAAAGCGTTGACCACAGTGGCCGCCGACTGGTGGTCCTGCTACTTGTAGCCATGGTCGCCTCCTCCCCTCCTAGGGCATCCTCTCCTCCAGTGCTCGCAGGTGAGTGCCTTGGGGCCCTCATCTGGATCGTCGCAGGTACATGTCGCCATGGTTCGCCGGAACTCTAGGGTTTCAAAGGGAGGAGAGAGGGGTGTTGTGTGTGGACCTTCTGTTCTATCAAGCGGAGGTTGATCGTAGGATGGGTGGCAGCTAAGGGATTGAGATCAGAGGAGCGGTGATGCAGCAGTGTCCTCCTTGTTGGTGGAGTGATGGACATGAATGAATACCTAACATTGGGGAATGACTCTGGTATGCAAGCAACGAAGGTGGTGGCGCGCACACTGATCCTCACCATCGGATTGGATCAAAAGGGACTGGTCCTCCACGCTGGTGCAGAGTAGGCATGGGTCGCCGTGGGGGTCGCTCGCCGTCCATGGTGGAAGAAGGGCCAGCCACGGGTAGTCCAGGAGGAAGGGGAAAGGGGAGGAGGAATTGAGCGGCAGCGATGCAACCTCTATCAAGAGGAGAGTTGGCCAAACGGACCGGCACGACACATCACAACCTGACACGTGGTAATCGTGGCATGGCACGGCCACTGGGTCATGATTAGTAAATAGTTCGTGTTGCGTTGGCCCACGTGATGCGCTTAGCAGCCCAGGCACGGCCCCTCGGCTAATCTGGCTAGCCCGCCGGCCCACCAGGCACGATAGGCCCACATGTTGTTTGTCCTGCTAGGCTATTTTTTGGTCTATTGGGTTGTTTAATTCCATATAAAGATAAAATAAATAAACGGGTCATGTCGTGCCGGCCCACGTGCTCAACCTTGTGGCCTAAGCACGGTGCACCGCGTGACTAGCACAGCCTGATTAGCCCATGATGGGCCTAGCCCGTCATGTGTCGTTTCCAGCGTGCTCGCGGGCCGGCATGCTAGGCATGGCCCGTTTCGTCAGCACTGATCCCAAGGAACCCTACGTGAGGGGAAATCGGGCACCAAGAGATGCAGGAGAGGAGGGGAGCGGTTCGTGCGACATGGGATATGATGGCTGTCTCGGGATAGAAAGAATCGGTAAAAGCTGGTGGAAGAGTGAATTACATAAGAAAAAATCGGCAGGTTGTTCCTTCGATGGATGGGAGGATGTGTCAATGAATGACTACGTACACATTCACCTTTAATAGTACATGTATGAACTTAATTTATTCCTTTTTGTGGGTGAATATGAACTTATTTTGACAACAATGTGAAATATTCAGACACAACATAGCATAAACTCCAGACACACGTTCAACATAGTACAAAACATGACTGCACGACTGAGTGAACTTGTTTTAGCAAAACAAACATAACATAAAACTATGTAATAAACATAAATCCACAAATACATGGAAGAAACTAATTCTCCCGCTTCTTCAACTCAAACTGAGCATAGTACCTCCTGATCTCCTCGATAGTGCACGGTTCAATCACATTTGCTATCGACTACCTCCCTCTGTACCCTTTGGGTGTCCTACATGTATAATTGGGGCCGTTGTCATCATCACAATTCTCAGAGGAAATCAACATGGAAGCCTTGCCTTTCTCCTTGGCCACGACAACCAGCTCTCAGCAATCTCGACCTCTATCTCGGACAAGGCCTCCTCTACACCCATCCTTCTTTCCTTCGCGCCAACCCTTGCAGTTTCCTCAGCCAAGGAGGCGACAATGACGGTGTTTGTTAAGTTGTAATCCAAATTCAGATAAGGCTAACTTCTGACGGAGCGGAGCAGAGGCCGAGGCTTGGGCCATAGCGGAACTGTGTGTGTGTATCCTTTGTAAGCCGCCACATGTGATAAGATCA